TCCCTGTACGGCCTCCGATTGCTGCTGTCTCCATCGCCACACTCTGCCATGTGCCACTTTCAGGTCTCCTCACACACTGCTGGTGTGTTCCATTTTTTTGTCATAGGGTGCTGGCAGATTACGGGCCTCCCATTGCTGCTGCCAGGCCCCTAATCTGCCATGGTCCCCTGTACCGCCTCCTCATGCTGCTGCCAGGTCCACAGTGTCTCATGCCATGTGCCCTTTTCAGGTCTCCTCACACTGCTGGTGTGTTCCATTTTTTGTCATAGGGTGCTGGCAGATTACGGGCCTCCCATTGCTGCTGCCAGGCCCCTAATCTGCCATGGGCCCATGTACCGCCTCCTCATGCTGCTGCCAGGTCCAGAGTCTCTCATGGGTCCCTGTACGGCCTCCCATTGCTGCTGTCTCCATCGCCACACTCTGCCATGTGCCACTTTCAGGTCTCCTCACACACTGCTGGTGTGTTCCATTTTTTTGTCATAGGGTGCTGGCAGATTACGGGCCTCCCATTGCTGCTGCCAGGCCCCTAATCTGCCATGGGCCCCTGTACCGCCTCCTCATGCTGCTGCCAGGTCCGTAATCTGTCATGGGCCCCTGTTGTCGCTTGTTGGCATATTCCGCTCATTCAGATGCTCCTTCTCCTGCTACTCCTCTTCACGGATTCCGTCAGCAGTCTTTCTTGGAATCCGTTTCCAAGAGACAACAGTTTGCGAGCACGCACCCGACGGTGCAGAAGCTGAACGTCCTCCTGTCCAAGTTGCTGCTGCCAGGCTCGTAATCTGTCATGCGCCCCTTTACCGCCTCCTCATGCTGCTGCCAGGTCCAGAGTGTGTCATGGACCCCCGTACCGACTCCTCATGCCGCTGCCAGGCCCGTAATCTGTCATGGGTCCCTGTACCGCCTCCTCATGCTGCTGCCAGGTCCAGAGTGTGTCATGGGTCCCCTGTACGGCCTCCCATTGCTGCTGCCAGGCCCGTAATCTGCCATGGGCCCCCGTACCAACTCCTCATGCTGCTGCCAGGCCCGTAATCTGTCATGGGCCCCTGTACCGCCTCCTCATGCTGCTGCCAGGTCCAGAGTGTCTCATGGGTCCCTGTACGGCCTCCCATTGCTGCTGTCTCCATCGCCACACTCTGCCATGTGCCACTTTCAGGTCTCCTCACACTGCTGGTGGGTTCCATTTTTGTCATAGGGTGCTGTATGGCCTCCCATTGCTGCTGCCTCCACCGCCACACTGTGGCTCCACACTCTGGTTTTGGCCCCGTGACTGCCCAAATGAGTGAAGTGTGCGGTGATTCTAAGATCGACGGCACTCATCTGCATGTCCGAATCAGTCGAATCGAATTTTTGAATAATTCGCTCATCTCTAATTATTTTCTATTCCTTTATTTTCTGTTCTTTTTTGCTGTTATTCTCTATTCTATTCTTTGATATTCTCTTCTAACCTTTTCTATTCTATTCTAATGGATTCTATTCTTTTCTATTCTTTGATTTTCTATTCTAATCTTTTCTTTTTTTATTCTAATGGATTCTATTCTTTTCTATTCCTTTATTTTCTGTTCTTTTTTGCTCCGTTATTTTCTATTCTATTATTTGATTTTCTCTTCTAACCTTTTCTATTCTATTCTACTGTATTCTATTCTTTTCTATTTTTGATTTTCTATTCTAATCTTTTCTTTTTTATTCTAATGGATTCTATTCTTTTCTATTCCTTTATTTTCTGTGTTCTTTTTTGCTCTGTTATTTTCTATTCTATTCTTTGATTTTCTATTCTAATCTTTTGTATTCTATTCTTAATGTATTCTATTCTTTTCTATTCTTTGATTTTCTATTCTAATCTTTTCTATTCTATTCTAATGGATTCTATTCCTTTCTATTGCTTTATTTTCTGTTCTTTTTTTGCTCTGTTATTTTTCTATTCTATTCTTTGATTTTTATTCTATTCTAATCTTTTCTATTTTATTCTAATGGATTCACATTCCTATGTGTCCATGTAGACATTATCGTTTACAGGCATTTCAGTTTACGTTCGTTTTTTTTAATGCAGAAAACTTGCCTTCAGCAGTCAATTTTATCAGTGTTTCAAACGCAAAATGCTTGTAAACGTGGCTTTTGAAATTTTGTTTTATCTCTCCCAGTTCCCAATGCTGTCCAGAGCCTTTTTCATCATGAAAAATGCATGCAAAGTGTTTTCAAGGTGCTCAGATGGACAAAACACTGAACACAGGATGTTCCTACCAAGCTTGTCACACATTGTAATAACCAATTCACACCTCAGACCTCTCCCCACCCTTGGAAACAAAAGATATGTTAATGACCATTCACACCTCAAATTCCTCATGAAGACCCCCTGCCAGGTGGCCTTAATGACTCCCTCCACCAGACACCTTCCCACCCTTGGAAACAAAAGAAATGTTAATGAGCAACTCACATCTAAGCTAATGTCAACACATCCTGCTGTCTCTGCTTCTACTCTCTGTATTTCTCTGAAACAGTCTGAAATAGTTAATAAATTACTACTTTTCAGTGCATTCTAGGCATTTGGGAGGTTCTCCTGTGCTTATCTATAAAAAACCATGCTTCTAAATGCAAACGCGCATAAATTCGTTATGCAAACGCAGCTAAACAGATGTTTTTTAACCTACGTTTTCCAGCAGTCAGTTTCCATTGTTCAGAAGTGTCCCGTGTACATGGAGCCAAACTTGTTGGGTATAGATATGTAAATAATGTTCATAGTAGACGTGTGCAAGATGAGAAAACTTGTTTTCTTTCTTTCGATTCGTTATTTGACTAGTTTTGTTTCATTCGATTAGTTAAATTAGGTTAATTTGTTTTTCGGAATTCGTTTTGTTAATTCAAATTCGACCGAATTTGAAATTTCAAAATGGATTCAAAAGCAATTTGAACGGATTTAAAACAATTCTAACGGATTCAAAAATAATTCCAAAGGATTCAAAAACAATTCTAACAGATTCAATAATAATTCTAACGTTACAATCCATATGTGTGTTGGATGGTACATGGGATATATGAAGATTTGCGTGACCATATTGGAAATTTCTATTTCAGCAAAAAAAAAGTGACTTTGTTGATCACTACTCATGTCACTATTGCGCAGAACACAATTTTTTATGAAGTATTTTAGTCTTTTGTAATCTATACTATTCTTTTCTATTATTTTATATTTTATTCTAATGTGTTCTCTTCGAATTCAAATTTGTTCTATTCAAAATTCGAGTTTTGGTAGGCAGTTATATTCTTTCTATTTTATTTTATTGTTTTTTATACTAGTCTATTCTATTCTTTTATTCTCTATTCTAATCTTTTCTACTCGATTCTAATCTTTTCTATTGTATTCTAATGGATTCTATTCTTTTACTAATCTCCTTTATGTTCTGTTCTTTTTTGCTCTGTTATTTTCTATTCTATTCTTTGATTTTCTATTCTAATCTTTTCTATGCTATTCTAATGTATTCTATTCTTTTCTTTTCTTTGATTTTTCTATTTTAAACTTTGTTTTCTATTCTAATGGATTCTATTTTTTCTATTCCTTTATTTTCTGTTCTATTTTGCTCTGTTATTTTTTCTTTTCTTTGATTTTCTATTCTAATCTTTTCTATTCTATTCTAATTGATTCTATTCTTTTCTATTCTAATTATTTTCTATTCTATTTTGATGGATTCTGTTTTTTTTCTATTCCTTTATTTTCTGTTCTATTTTGCTCTATTATTTTCTATTTATTCTTTGATTTTCTATTAAAATCTTTTTTTTATTCTATTTTAATCAATTCTATTCTTTTCTACTCTTTATTCTTTGATTTTCTATTTTGCTAATTATTTTCTATTTTATTCTTTGTTTTTCTATTCTAATCTTATCTTATCTATTCTATTCTAATTAATTCTATTCTTTTGTATTTGTTTCTTTTCTGTTCTATTTTGCTCTATTATTTTATATCTATTCTTTGATTTTCTATTCTAATCTTTTCTATTCTAGTCTAATGGATCCTATTCTTTTCTATTCCTTTATTTTCTGTTCTATTTTGCGCTATTATTTTCTATTCTATTCTTTGATTTTCTATTCTAATCTTTCCTTTCTTTTCTATTCTATTATTTGATTTTCTATTCAAATATTTTCTATTCTATTCTAATGGATTCTGTTCTTTTCTATTTCTTTATTTTCTATTCTATTTTGTTCTGATTTTTTTTTTATTATTTTTCTACTCTATTCTGTTCTATTCTTTTATTTTCTATTCTGTTATTTTCCCCCCTCTATTCTTTTCTATTTTATTCTTTTATTTTTTATTCTATTATTTTCTACTTCTTTATTTTTTGTTCTATTTTATTCTATTTTTCTTTTCAAATTCGAATTGGCTTTCTAATTTGTTTCCAAATTTTAATTGTGATTTGAATGTGTATTGTAATTCGGAATTCAGATACATCTGAATCTCTGAATAACAGAAAATTTGTCCGAATTTTGATTTGGAATGAAACGAACTGCACTACTGTCTCGGTAATAGGATGAGATTGGAGAAAGGCATTGAAAGTGGAATGATCAGTTAGCTCCACAAATAAAATGTCTTACATGTTGTAATGTACGAGGTGTGAAAATGTAATTCCTGGAATGGTGGTTGGAAGTCTTGGAATTTGTTTCCCAGAATGCTGCATAGTATCTTTGTCGCAATGCGCTTGATGTCCGGAATGGCATCAGTTCTGTGTCCTTTTAAGGCATTTTTAAATTTCGGAAACAACCAGAAGTCTCCGGGTGCTAAGTCAGGGGAATAAAGTGGATGCACAAGTTTCGGAATGGATTTCTGGCCAGTAATTCGCTAACACTTAAAGCATCATGCGCAGGAGCATTGTCATGGTGGAGAATCCTCTTGTCAGGCCTGAGTTTCAGTCTTTTCCTCCAAAAAAGTTTCCCGTAACTGTAATTCTGTCCATATCATATTTGATTCCCTCCTTTGCATTTTTGGCTACTTTTTTCTTGCATCATTGCGGACATCTTCCTGGCACTCCTTAAACTGCCTATACCATTTAAAAACACTTGATTTCTTTATGGAATGTTCACCATAAGCCAGTTGTAACAGAGCATTGTAACAGCATTGTAGCACTATCCTCTAAGGAGCCACTGGATAGACGGGTCTTTCTGTCTTCCCCCTGCCGGAACTGACTCAGAACTCAGTGACACACCTTTAGCATAAAGTGGGCTTTATTAAAGGAAAGCAAAAAGCCCTACAGAAAAGAAAGCTTAGTTGAACACTAGAGAAATATATTGGCAATACACACTTAAAAATACATTTAAAACTGAACAGACCAGGGAATTTCAGAAATCAGAAGTACAACATAGTAACCAGCTACACACTGTGCAGATCCTAGTTATGTATAAGGGAACTGGATTTTAGCTCTGTGCTGTGTGGAAAGAAACCGATAAGGAGCTCCTGCTGCCTGTGCTCAGGCTGTGTATGTATGATGCAGGGATGGGAGCTGTGCTGAGTGTCCTGCCAGCAGTCACCCCTGACCTCTCTCCTTCCACCAGTGACCCCTGTCCTCTATCTTTGCAACAGTGACCTCTGTCCTCTCTCCTGCCAGTAGTGACCCCTGTGCTTTATCCTTCCAGTGGTGACCCCTGTCCTTTATCCTTCCAGAGGTGACCTCTGTCCTCTCTCCTGCCAGTAGTGACCTCTGTCCTCTCTCCTGCCAGTAGTGACACCTGTCCTTTATCCTTCCAGAGGTGACCCCTGTCCTCTATCTTTTCCAGTGGTGACTCTGTCTTCTCTTCTTCCAGCGCAGACCATGTCCTCTCTCCTTCCAGCAGTAACTCCTGTGCTCTCTCCTTCCAGCAGTAACTCCTGTGCTCTCTCCTTCCAGTGGTGACCCCTGTGCTCTATCCTTCCAGTGGTGACCCCTGTGCTCTATCCTTCCAGCAGTGACCCCTGTTCTCCATATTTCCAGTAGTGACTGTATTCTCCTCCTTTCCAGCAGTGGCCCCTGTCCTCTATCATTCCAGCGGTGACCCTGTCCTCTCTCCTGCTAGTGGTGACCTTGTCCTCTGCCCTGCCAGCATTAACCTCTGTCCTCTGCCCAGCCACAGTGACCCCTGACACTGTGCAGATCACAGTTGTGTATAAGGAAAATGGATTTCAGTTCTGTGCTGTATGAAAAGAAACCGATAAGGAGCTCTTGCTGCCTGTGCTCAGGCTGTGTATGTACGGTGCAGGGATGAGAGCTATGCTATGTCCTGCTAGCAGTCACTGTTGTCATATCTCCTTCCAGTGGGGACCCCTGTGTTCCCTTGACCTCTCTCCTTCCAGCAGTGACCCCTCTTCT